TTTAGAACAATTGCCTTCCATTCTGAATAAAGCTAATCAAAATCAAACACTTATCATGTGAAATGCTAACTGAAAAAACTCGTTCCTCTTATGGAATAGAAGAGGGACTCTCCATGTGAGAACATATTGTTACTGAAATTCAATAATTGGGCTTACACCCTGAACGGGGAGAAACAAAAGTGGAAAGTGAAAACCACAAACTGTTTGAGTTGATGTTTTAGGACATTTGTTTAGGGCTGTTAGGCTGAAGTTATTGGGAACCTGCTCCAGAAAAAAGTTTTGCATAGTGAAGAAAAAAAAGGCCATAATGGAACAAGTTTTCCTGCTGTGAAAGTTGGAAAAACAAAACAAAAAAGACTAATATTAATAATAATGATCTGTATTAATGTTCTTGCATAAGGAAAGGAGAAAGATGAGACATTTAAAATGATGAAAACATAACGTTCTTATATTCAATAGTGGTAACTTAGTTTCAAGCACCTTAGAACAATTCGCAATCCGTATTCCAATAAATTGATGCAAAATGAAAGTTAAAGAAAGCTACTTATCTATATCTTCAACCTTACTTCACGTTCATTCCTTCTTTGACGAAGATCATTTTGATTTGATTGTAACTGTTGAGGCAAATGAATTTCAGAAACTCAGAGTTCATCTTTTACTCATTACCCCTTGATCTCATTGTTGCATAATAAACATGCATTACAGGTTAAAAACAGTAATAGCTATCTAGCTACTGGGTTTCATATAAGCAACCGTAATTTCTTTTTGAAAAGTTGGAGCAATGTATTGGGCATTTTGTGGTGCATTCTCCAACACAACTTTACTAATTTCTGGATTCAAATCAGCGAAGACAAGTCATTGGGAAATTGAAATATTACTTCAAAAAAGGGCAACTTTACACTGTGATTCAAAATCATTCATTATTTTATTAAAGAATGCATACTACTAAGGTAGGAGTAGTGCTGATTAAAATCAAGAAAACAAAAGGTTGTGTTTGGAATCATGTACTTGGGCATTTTTTAAATTTTAATGGAATTCCACGAGAATCAACTCTCTTTTTTTACTTTTCTTTTTCTTTTGGCAGGAATCTATTCAAATACCAATTCATATCCAGCTTGATTCTATACCACCAGAAACAAGTCAAAACAACAAAATTAGTCAAATTACTATTGTTATTTGGTAATCTCTACTCACATCTCACAAGTTACAACAAGAACAAGTCAACAACAATTATTTATATTATATACTTATACAACAATTACTATTACTAATTAGCAATTAACCTCGAAGTATCTCCCTGCTCGATACAACCAGCCATCTGGATTCTCACCGCTGAAAATGGGCATCTCCAGTTTTCGCACTCTCCTCCAGCTTTCTTCCTCCTTGCCCTGTATTATGTTGTTTATGGTTTTCCCATAGCTGGCTTCTCCCATGCCTTCCTTCCATTTCTCTGGCTCGACCGTACCGTGGGATTTTGTGAATTCTGGTTGTATTGGTCCTTCTGTCACACTAGTCTTTCCTTCCCCCGAATTTTGGCAAAGTCCCCCCACGAGAGTGGAGAGAGCTGCAACAGTTTTCTTTGTCTCTTCCATCGACTGCACTACTATTGCCATGTTTTGGGTTAGTTGCTCCACTGATGTTCTCATCTCCCCCATATCCTTCTCCATGGTGTCGACCCCGTTCTCTGCTTTCTTCTGCGCCATAGGAAAGAACTTCTCTGATACCAATTGATAAGGTACCACTGAGATGAACAGATCAAATGAGAATAAGTTCCACTTTTATTCAAAAGCAAGAACGATTACAGTAACGGAATTGATAACAAAGCCTATAGAAGGCTGTAAATAAAGCTAAACCACTCCAGACTCTCTCCAAAAATAGCCTCTCTATTACTCCCTGATTACTCTTATTTATAGGCTATCCTAACAGAAAGTTGTTACCCTATATTCCCCCCAACAGAATTTAACTCCTCTCCCTCCAAGTGCGAGATTCCCTTCTTACCCCTTCTAGAATATGTGAAATGGATCGGGGGTCTATCAGAAACTCAAAATTTCTTTAAAATGACTATTATACCCTTGTTATGGATTACATAAGGATAAAATAAACCAAAAACAAAAAATAATAAACATATGTTAAAACAAACAAAAACAAAGAAAAAATTAAATAAAATTCGATCACCTTCCCATTACCTTGACCATCCCATTACTACTACCACCACCGAAAATTTATTGGAATGATTTTGATTGAAGTGATTTATGTTTCCTCTCTTCCCTTTCCTATTCAAGTTTCTTCCTTCTATAGTTTATGTTGAAAGATCCGACGCACCAATTGCAAATGCAAATATTAAGAGCAGTGATATTTAACATCAATCTAAGTGACATTACTTGTATTCTAAAATTATATGTTCAATTAAATACAAGAATTTATAACTCATTTATATTACATAATTACACCAAGACCGGTGATTTAACACCACTGGTGCTAGATGTCATTATTCAAATATTAAATATTAATTGTAAAATAGGGTCTAGTGGTAGTAGTAATGAGGTTGGGATGTTTGAGACTGGATTTTATTTTTAATTTTGTTCATAAAAGGGAATACTAGTTATTAGGG